CCAGAGCATGACCCCGTCTCAAAAAAAAAGACGAGAAAAGAAATTTGTAGACCACCCTGCTATGTAGCATATTTTAAAATTTAAGAACTGGTTTTTTGTTGGTTTATTTGTTCGTTTTTGCCTGATTGATGGCTTCTGTGATCTAATGTGTTTTTAACGCTTGCAGTTCCTCCCTTATTGATGATCATTCCTTGACTACTTGGAATTCAAAAGATGTAAAACTTGTGTCCTCTACGGACCTACGACTCTTCACCAGGCTTCTCTCACATTGTAATTCCAGCAGTGCATCTTCATATCAAAAATCAGCCGTAAATTCACCTAGTTCTTTGCATTAAGCTGGATTAGCCATTGTAAATGATTGGTTTTGGGGTAGACTTTAAAATGTTGCATTATTTATGTATGCCTTACCTGCCACACTAGATTATGACAGTTTGAGTGTAAATATTTCTTTTAAATTTGAGTTAAATATTTCATTTAAAATATTTGTGGTTTGCAATTATAAGGATATTAGCAAAATAAGATCATTTCACTTGGGGGAAAACTGACAGCTTCTACGTACTAGTGTTTGCGGCAAAATGTAAAAATTGCCTACGACCAGAGACCTATGGTGTTGAATTTAACTGTTAATTTCTTAGAACATGATCCTATATTTTACTGTGACCCTGCCCACTAGGAATTTTCATGATAAACAAGAGGGGGACTGAACAACTGCTGGGAGCCATACTTAAGTTAATCTTTCATCATGTAAAAGCCTTGCTTGAGAACTCCTGGAGTATGAATTGTCTGTCTCTCTCTCTTTTTTTTTTTTTTTTTTGAGATGGAGTCACACTCTGTCGCCAAGGCTGGAGTGCGGTGGCGCGATCTCCACTCACTGCAAGCTCTGCCTCCCGGGTTCACGCCATTCTCCCGCCTCAGCCTCCCAAGTAGCTGGGACTACAGGCGTGTGCCGCCACCACGCCTGGCTAATTTTTTGTATTTTTAGTAGAGATGGGGTTTCACCATGTTGGCCAGGATGGTCTCAATCTCCTGACCTCATGATCCGCCCACTTTGGCCTCCCAAAGTGCTGGGATTACAGGCGTGAGCCACTGTGCCCGGCCTGTCTCTTAATGTCTAGTTTCTGTAGTAGAGCAAAGCCACATTGAAGACAGTCCTGAGATTATGTGTGTGCATGTGCATGTTAAAGCAGTTCATTAGGAATCTTCCGAAATGCAGCTGGCACAGTGGCTCAGGCCTGGAGTCCGAACACTTTGGGAGGCTGAGGCAAATGGAGGGCTTGAGTCTATGAGTTCGAGACCAGCCTGGGCAATATAGCAAGACCCCTCTCTATTTAAAAAATAAAAATAAAAGGAAAATGTTTACAAAAGAAATCTTCAGAAATCCCAAGTTTGTTGACTGACCATTGTACATGGGAAAGTCGGGTCAGGATGCAGGTGGAGGAGCCATATTTGAGACAGGGAAGTTTTCATTTTAGTCCTAAGATAACTGGGTGATAAGTGTTGATTTTGTAATTTCTGACTTCCTCAGAACTCTGAAAGTATCCCTGATAGAGTTCTTGTCAGTTGGTAAAGATGTATTTTCTTCTTTTAATCTCTAGAAGTGATGAAGCCCATCCTTACTTTTGGAGAAAGAGTATCACAGGTCAGCTTTGGCATGAGAAGCAGCAATATCTTCACTTTACTGGTCAGAATTTGTGAGCACATGATTGCTCCCCCTGTGAGAAGAGACAGGAAGTGCTGCCCTTTTAGCCGTCCTTGTAGATGACCTTTGCTGTGCAGGGTGGGCTGGCGAGGAGGACCAGGTTGCAGTAAGCTCTCCATGGCCATGTTCTTCGATGTTGGGACGGGGAATGGGGAGTCCTGATTCTTGACCCCCATCATCTTCCCACACACCAGCTTCATACACTTCGTCCCCAGCTTAATACTCTTATTGTAAGCTCCTTACTGCAAAGCGTTAGGCTCTCAGTAGACTCGAAATTATGTTTCTCTTGCAGGATGATTGAGTAATAACAATATGACTGTCTTAATGTCAATATGAATTTGTCTCATCTTGTCTGAAACATAATTGAACAAGTTCAGGTTCAGACAGGTCTTAGAGTCCACTATTCACTTCTCAAGAGCAGTTTCTTCACACACACACACACACACACACACACACACACAGACACACTTTGTTTTTTATCCTTTCTTAACAGTTTCCTAGTAGAATAAACTGGCTGGGTTGTTGGGTATGTATACAGTGTGAGGCTGCTGATTAGTTCTTATTAGAAGACCTCCCCCGATAATCAGAACCTATCGTGTGTGTGCGTGTGTGCGTGCTGTCAGTGTTGCCAGGTACAACAGGAATTTATCAGTAGCAGTCATCAGATTCCTTTTAGCAAAAAAAGATCTTCAAATCTGACTTAGTGTTTTTTCTTTTTTATCCTTTTTGTTGTTGTTTTTGAGACACAGTCTCCTTCTGTCTCCCAGGCTGGAGTGCAGTGGCGCAATCTCAGCTCACTGCAACCTCCACCTCCCGGGTTCAAGTGATTCTCCTCCCTCAGGCTCCCGAGTAGCTGGGATTACAGGCGTGCACCACCAGGCCTGGCTAATTTTTGTATTTTTAGTAGAGACAGGGTTTCACCATGCTGGCCAGGCTGGTCTCGAACTCCTGACCTCAAGTGATGCATCCACCTCGGCCTCCCAAAGTGCTGGGATTTCAGGTGTGAGCCACCGCGCCCGGCCGGGAGTCTTTCTTCATCTCACTCTGTCACCCAGGTTTGAGTGCAGCTGCATAGTCATAGCTCACTGCAGCTTTGAACTCCTAGACTCAAGTGATCCTCCTACCTCAGCCTCCCAAGTAGACGGGATTACAGGTGTGAGCCACTCTACCCAGCAACTAAGAGTCATTTTTAAAAATGCCATTTAGAAAGTTTTTACTTGTATTTGTTTACTTATTTATTTGACACAAGGTCTCCTATGTTGCCCAGGCTAGAATGTAGTGGTGGGCTCTCGGCTCACTGCAGCCTCAACCTCCCAGGTTTAAGCAATCCTCCCACCTCAGTCTCCTGAGTAGCTGGGACCCCCATTTCCAGCTAATTTTTGTATTTTTTGTAGAGACGGGGTTTCCCCATGTTGCTCAGGATGGTCTCAAACTACTGAGCTCAATTCATCTGGCCGCCTCTGCCTCCCAAAGTGCTGGGATTATAGGCATGAGCCACCACACCCAGCCTAAAGTTTTTACTTTAAAGAAAGAAATTTTCAGGCTGGACACGGTGGCTCACACCTGTAATCTCAGCACTTTGGGAGGCCGAGGTGGGTGGATCATGAGATCAAGAGATCGAGACCATCCTGGCCAACATGGTAAAACCCTGTCTCTACTAAAAATACAAAAATTAGCTGGGCGTGGTGGCGGGCATCTGTAGTCTCAGGTACTCGGGAAGCTGAGGCAGGAGAATCACTTGAAACCAGAGGCGGAGTTTGCAGTGAGCTGAGATTGCGCCACTGTACTCCAGTGACAGAGTGAGACTCCATCTCAAAAATAAATAAAAAAATAAATTTTCAATACAGTGGTGCCATTGGTTTTTTTTTTTTTTTTTTTTTTTTGAGATGGAGTTTCACTCTTGTTGCCCAGGCTGGAGTGCAGTGGCACAATCTCGGCTCACTGCAACCTTTGGCTCTCGGGTTCAAGCAGTTCTCCTGCCTCAGCCTCCTGAGGAGCTGGGATTATAGGTGCGTGCCCTCACGCGCAGCTAATTTTTGTATTTTTAGTAGAGATGGGGTTTCACCATGTTGGCTGGGATGGACTTGAACTCCTGACCTCAACTGGTCTGCCTGCCTCGGCCTCCTAAAGTGCTAGGATTATAAGCATGAGCCACCACGACCTGGCCGGTGCCACTGGTTTTTAAAGTGGAACTTGAGTCCCTCTAGTGGATAGGGTATAATTCACCTTCCCAGCTTGAGATGGAATGGAAGCTGCCAGTCATGATTTTCTTGGAACCAGCTTTCAAATCCAGTCTTCTCATCAGCGCTGGTGTCACCCTCCCCAGCTAAACAGCAGTGCTTAGCTCGCCGCTGGGTTGGTCCTGACGTCAGCCAAGATTCAGGAGTCCTCCTCCTCTGCCCATGTGATCTGAGTGGCCCTGATCCTTCCTTGCATGTAATCTCACAGCTGTGATTCACCGGCTGCTTTATCTCAAGCCTCAGCAAATATAAACTCAAAACTACAACTTGACGATGTTTATGCCGTGCAGTTCTTTCTAGCAAAGAACACAGTGCCCCCAGGGTCCTTGAGATGTCATGGAAGAAATAATTGTGCAGGTCTGCTTTGGGTACCACAGGTACATGAAGGACGTTTAGCAGTTGGAGGAGTTACGTCGTGACAGGCAGAACAAAGGCAGTGTGGTGCGGCTGGAAAGAACTTGGGTTGAGCGTTCAGTCCTAACTGCAGTTACTGTGTGACCTTGAGCTGTGGTGACATAGCCTTTCTGTATCTTAGTTTTCCCTTTTGTAAAATAGGGAGATGCCAAAACTCTATCTTGTGGGGTTATTTTTTTAATTAAAAAAAATTTTGTTTAAAGAGACAAGGTCTCACCCCATTTCCTGGGCTAGATTGTGGTAGCACAGTCAGAGCTCACTGCAGCCTGGAAGTCTTGGGCTCACATGACCCTCCCTCCTCTGCTTTCAGAGTAGCTGGGACTACAGGTGTACACCATTGTGGCTGACTAGTTTTAAACCTTTTTTTAGAGATGGAGGTCTACTATGTTGCCCAGGCTGATCTCAAACTCCTGGGCTCGAGTGATCCTGCCATGGCCCCCCAAAGTGCTGGGATTATAGGTAGGGACGACCGCACCCTGCAGGGTTGGTTTAAGTGCTGGAAATAACACATGCAAAAGCCTTTGTGTTTTCAGTGCTCTGTGATTGGTAGCAGACGTTGTGGAAATTTTCTCTGAGTTCATTACAATGCATGAGGTTTAATTACTCAGATCACTTTCTTCTCTTTTCCATGCTTCCTTTTTCTTCAGTCACCACCAAGTAAGCGGAGAAAATTAGAGAAACCAAGGAAGCCCATTACATTTGTGGTGCTGGCATCCGTGATGAAAGAGTTGTCCCTCAGAGCATCGTCCCTGGGCTCTGAGACGGCGGAAGGCATCGTGGCTGTCACAGCATGGATCGAACAAATTCTCACAGATTTGAAGGTACCTGGGTGACCATACTGACGAAGTACTCATAACGATCCTTCTGTTTCGTTTTTTTTTTTCATCGAGTTTGGAGAGAGGGGAAAAGTGATTTCCCATCAAATTCTGTTTTTCCTCCAAACAGGTCCAGCATAAACGAGTTCCCTGTGGAAAAGAGGAAGTTAGCCTTTTCCTAACGGCCATAGAAAACTCCTGGATTCATTTAAGGAGAAAGAAAAGAGAGCGAGTGAGACAGCTGAGAGAAGTTCCTCGAGCTCCCGAGGACGTCATTCAGGCCTTGGAAGAGAAAAAGTCCACCCCCAAAGAGTCTGGCAATAGCCAAGAATTGGCCAGGGGCCCCCAGGAGAGGGCCCTCTGTGGGCCTGCTCTGCGGGAAGGCGAGCCTGCCGCTGTGGAGGGCCCGTGCCCGAGCCAGGAGTCCCTATCCCAGGAGGAAAACCCGGAGCCCACGGAGGATGAAAGTAGTGAGGAAAAGGGAGGGGTGGAGGTTCTGGAAAGTTGTAAAGGCTCTAGCAATGGAGCCCAGGATCAAGAGGCTTCTGAGCAGTTGAGCAGCCCAGTGGCTGAAAGGGGGAAATGCCTCCCAGGAGTGGCTGGACAGTACCTGTTTAAGTGTCTGATAAACGTTAAGAAGGAGGTGGACGATGCCTTAGTTGAAATGCATTGGGTTGAGGGCCAGAACAGGGATTTGATGAACCAGCTTTGTACCTACATACGGAACCAAATTTTCAGGCTTGTTGCCAGTTAACTAGAAACTTCTTGCACAGTTGGAAAAGTGTTTATAGTCACTTGCTTTGGAGTGGCCTGTGGGGTGGCAAAAGGAATCCTACCAGTGGCCCATTAGTAGCATTGTGTGGAATTATCTTCAAACACAAAAACCAATGAATCTGTCCCCACCTCCCGCCACTGCCTTCCCGCATTTTGAGTTACAGGGAGTTGTAGCGTGGCCGTTTACAAGAAGAATTGCTGTCATCAGTAACAACAAAAGCCCTCAGTAAACTCCCGAGGGATTGCACGCTGGCTCAAGCTGCCCCTCAGCTTTGAACTGCTTCTGCAAGGCCAGAAGGGTTGTTCGTGGAGTCTGGGTCGGGCAGCACTGCCTAGAGTGTCATGCTCTCTCTGTCACCCAAGGGTGTTTTTGAGGAGGGGTGGCTCTCTCTGCCTCCAGTTGGAGGCCCTGGTACCCTCTTCTAGGTCACTCTTCAAGATGGGACCTACCTTGCGTCAGTCCCACGAAGGGAGCTAGCCGTGGGTGGGTGGTGGGGCATCGGGGAGAGAAGCCTTAGTAATGCTAGGAGGAGCAGCAGTCTGGGGAGTACCCAGTAAATGGCACATTCCTGACACGCGGCTGTTTTGATGTTGCTTATTTCAGAAGCAGAATTAGGTAAGCAGAATTCCCGGGTGTGACTGAGGCACACAGAAGGCACCCGTACCCCCACCTCCAGCCTGTTGAAAGTACCATTTTGCAGCAGTTTTACTACTCTATGATTTTTGTTCGGACATTTGAAGTAGAGCTTGTTTTGTTTTTAATATAAGAATATTCACAAATTAAAAACCAGTGGTCCTATTTGAATCCTGGGGTTAGCTGAGTGAGCGACTGATGACAGAAATGAGAAATGGAACAAAATAGTATATGCCGTAGGTAGCTTAAGAAAGTCTCAGATACTTTGTTGCTGATCAAATACTGTTTTTTGTGGCTTCACTTGTAATCCCCTCTGTACTTACCTACTCACATTGGAGAGTTCTGAGGCCGGAGTAACTGTGTCCTTAAAACACCTTTCTAGTTGGAATGCCAGGGTTCAGTAGCAGTGCCCCCGGAAAAGGGGTGTCCTTAAAACACGTTTCTAGTTGGAATGCCAGGGTTCAGTAGCAGTTCCCCCAGAAAAGGGGTGACCTTAAAACACGTTTCTAGTTGGAATACCAGGGTTCAGTAGCAGTCCCCCCGGAAAAGGGGTGACCGTTTGCTGTGCTTGACTTAACAGCTCGATGTTGCATCAGCAGCCTAGGGTTCTCTTTCGACTAAAATCTTCGCCAGAGCTCCTTGCCATCTGCTAAGAAGACGGGCTGAGTAGTTAAGCCAGCCTTCTGAGAGGTGGCTGTTGGTTAGGACAGGAAGCCGGTGACCTTGGCATATCTTGGCATCTGCTAGATCCGGCCCTTAGCAGAGACACAGGAAGTGGAACTAGTGTGCTTTCGTGTGGCCGTGGAGCTGGAGCTAGAGAAGACAGCATACTGACCAGTGGCTTTGTGATTGTTTTGAGAGGGAGTTTCACTCTTGTTGTCTAGGCTGGAGTGCAGTGGCGCGATCTCAGCTCATTGCAACCCCTGCCTTCTAGGTTCAAGCGATTATCCTGCCTCAGCCTCCTGAGTAGCTGGAATTACAGGCACGTACCGCCATGCCTGGCTAATTTTGTGTTTTTAGTAAAGATGGGATTTCACGATGTTGGCCAGACTAGTCTCGGACTCATGACCTCAGGTGATTCACCCACCTCGGCCTCCCAAAGTGCTGGGATCACAGCCGTGAGCCACCACACCCAGCCTCTGACCAGTGTTCTTAACTTGGTCCGTGGACCTCCAGAGAGTCCGTATGCCTCCTAGAGTTACTTCGAAAAGTTCTGTGAGCGTGTGTGTGTGTGTGTGTTTTTCCTGGAGAGAGGGTTCCCAGAACCCTCAGACATAGACAAAGGGGTCAATAACCCACTAAGGGTTAAGAATCATTATTCTAGTTCAAGCATTCATGTGTCAGGCTGCAAAATCCAATACTCAGGGTCACACAGAGCCAAGACTCAATTCAGGACCGTGGATTCCCCTGGTCTAGTAATTTTCTGCTGTGCTAGCCCACACCATCCCACTATCCTTACCTCAAGTGAATATCACATTTGAGTCCTTTGCTGGACCCAAACCTAGTTTCCTTGGCATAATTTTAGGATAATTGGTTAAGTAGCAACTATTCACTCAGTAAGTAGTAAGAACTTATTGTTTGCTGGTTTCATGATGAAAGAGTGGCACATGCTCATCAAAGATTTGGAAAAATGAAAGTCAAAACAACAAAATCACCGCTAGTCCCAACCTTCTGTAACATAACCACTATTGGTATTGGCGCGTTTCTTTCCAGTCTCTCTATAGATGGGGTGTGTGAGTGTGTGGGTTTAACTTTGGTTGTACTCATGCTGCATATTCAGTTTTATATTCTGGTCTTTTTTTCATTTAACATCTTACAAGTATTTTTCCATGTTACAACAGGAGTGTATTGACTTATACTCCTTGCCTGTTCAAAACGTCTTTCAGGCACAGCACTGGCTTTTAAGTCTGTGTCTCAGGGATTTCCAGAGAATGCTCCGTGTACTGAGGCACAGACGGTGTTTCTGTGTCTCAGTGTGTTTCTGTCCCTAGGTTTAAGGCTTCATGTCATGGAGGAGATTTTATAGATGTTAAGCTAATGACCTTAGAGTTTTAAAAAATCTGTGACAGTGGCCGGACGCAGTGGCTCACGCCTGTAATCCCAGCACTGTGAGGCTGAGGTGGGCGCATCGCATGAGGTCAGGAGTTCGAGACCAGCCTGGCCAACATGGCAAAACCCCACCTCTACTCAAAATACAAAAGTTAGCCGGGCGTGATAGCACGCACCTGTAATCCCAGCTACTCGGTAGGCTGAGGCAGGAGAATCCTTTGAACCTGGGAGGTGGAGGTTGCAGTGAGCCGAGATTGTGCCACTGCACTCCAGCCTGGGCAACAGAGTGAGACTCCGTCTCAAAAAAAAAAAGAACCCGAGTGAGATGGTCTCAAAAAAAAAAAAAAAAAAAAAAATCCATGAGCAGGCCGGCTTTCACAGTCTGGAGCGGAGTGCCTTCTGTGCATTTGGATGTCTCCATTTCCTTCCTGAGAAGATTTTCTTAGACTACCTAGTGAGAGAACATTGAACATATTTTTGAAAGGACACTTAAACATTGTTTTGGTCGTGCATGTGCTTTATAATTGTGGGTTGCGTCATTGCATATACCTCTGGTACAGGTGGCAAAGGTTTTCTTTGAAGAAATAGGTTATTGACTCATATGTCATCATCTTGAGTGTTACTCTCCTTACGTGTCCGGAGGTCACATTCATGTTGTTGGGTTGGCATGAAATTAAATCTCTGTGGTGTGACCCTAAATTCTCTTCTGGTCCCTAGAATCGGCTTCTGGTCTCTTGATAACGGAAGTGGAGACAGAAGCTGACAGAAGCTGAGCCTGTTTTCCAGGCAAACTAAAGCTGCTTTTGTTCTTTGGAATCTGCTTTGCCTCCGTCAGCTTGGTTCCTTCCCCACACATCCTGGCCGCACAGTCCCCACTCCAGACCTCTGCTGCGTGTCCTGGCAGGGCTGCGGCTCTGCAGTGGCCTTTCAACTCATCCGAAGCTTCGTGTAGATTAGTATATATTTTTTATAAAACATAAAGCCCTTCCTCTCGATGGAAATCAAGGCTTACCATGTGAGCACTCGAACTTCTAAGTTCTGACAGGAATAACAAAGCTGCAAGGAGTGGAAAAGACGGAAAAGCCTGTGGGGAATCCAAGGCCTTTTGAAAGAAGGGAGCCGATGACTTCATGACCAGCTCCTGGAGCCCCTCCTTTCTGCTGCAGCCGCGGCATTTCCCTCCGTGGCCACACGAGGGCACCCTTGGCCCTTTTATCAAAACGCCTTCACTTCCCCGTGGGAATGGAGACAATTGCTACCCAGATTTGTATTTTTCTGTAAACAGATACATTTTCACAGAAATAAAATTTGAAAAATAAAAGTAGAGGCAAAAAAACACTAGCCATGGTCTCTTTACCTGGTATAATCCCTTTTGACCCTTTAATGTTTTTTTCATGGTCCCAGCTATTTTTTCTATTCTTTCTGTCTGTCCTTCTACTCTAGAATATATCCAGGTTGGGCCAGTCCTTTGGATCAAGTTTTTCTTGATAACTAGTTAAGATACTAGAGGGGAAAGGCTGAGTGATCTTAAAACAGTAACTTTCCAAAAGCCTTATATTCCAGGAGGTGTCATACCAGGATCTCCAAGAAAGCAGCTGGGTTCAGTGTTCTTTTGTTGACCCTTGTTTGGGGTTTCTCTGGTTGGCTGGCTAACATGCATGTCGTGTGTTGCTTATATGAGAAGGTGAGGGTTCTATGTGGTGTAGATGCTGTCGGTTATCCAGGCCTTGCTTCTCACAAGGGGCGTTTCTGGGTAGAACATGGATCTTACTAACCCTGGGGTCTGTGTGGGCTCAAGGAAGATCCCATCTCCCCTTATGTTTCTGGTACAGGATCAGATGTGGCCGCCCAGCAGCTGTGCACGTTGGGAGGAGGAGGGTCCAGGTGGGAAAAGTCAAGAGCCCTCTGGAAGAAGGAGCATTTCAAAGGTGCAGCAGTTTTCTGGCGATAGAGGGGTCCCCTCAGGAAAGGGTCACGGCCACATGGTTTTTAGGGGAGTTGGTGCACAGGAGACTTGCTTTGCTGAATGGGCGCTAACCTCGGTGAAACCCAGAAGAGGCTGAACAGAATGAATTGGCTTCTGCCTCCGGCGGGCAGCGTTGATGGTGTTGAACCTTCCTAGTAATCCCGAGTACACAGCTCGCGGTGTGAGTGCCAGCACAGTATTAGAGGGCTGTGCGGCGCCCGCCCCACTGACGACGGGCGTCACGCGTGCCCGGCGTGCCTGCTCTGCTCTGTGACATTCACATTCACAGCGGCTGATGTTTTAAATTGCTGGTTGGAGCAGCTCATGCTGCCTGGTGGAGGCTGTGCTTTGTGCTCCAGGGACTACGTTGTGACTACGGAACGCCCTTGCCCCTCGAGGGGCCCTTTGAGGTGTAGCCTGTCTCCCGCTCTCAATCCAAGCAGAAGCGTGGGTTTCCTGAGGGAAGAGGAAGGCTGTGGGTGCCCCCCTCACTGGGGACCTGAGAGGAGAAGGGGTAGAGGAAAAGTACAGTCAGACTTGGCAGAACTGGTTCACAAACGATGCTCTGCGAGGGCCAGCAGGTGTGACCCAAGCCTCTTTTCCACCCGCCCCAGGGGAGCGAGAGGCAGGAAAGAGCACAGGCTTCAACGTTCAGACCTGGGTTCCCGCCAGTTCCATTCCTTGCACGGGGTAAGTCTGTTTCCTAAGCCTCGTCTTCCTCATGCCAAAGATGAGGATGCGCGCTTCAAAGTTAGAGCTGTGCTTAAGTGCGAGAAGGACTGAGACCCCGGAAGACGGTGGAAACACTTGCTCCTCTTCTGATTCTTTGAATTTTCAGTTTCCATTCAGAAAACCTTCCATCAGTGGACTCAGATGAGAAGGCTGAGACCTCACGTGTATGCCTGCAGGTGCGAAGTACCACCCTGACGAAGAGCAAAACCCATCCTTCGTGGGATGCGGGGAGGACGGGGGGCCAGTGTTGATGGTCCACCTTCCACACATACTGCCTCATTGAGTAACCCCGTCAGCCTGTGTGATGTTCCTGCCTGGTGGTGGCTGAAGGAAAGGGAAGCTCAGAGAGTGTCCGTGACCTGCCGTAAGGTTATCCACAGAGCTCGGTCATAGAAATGGGATTTGAACTCAGGTCCAAGAAGCCAAGACTGGGATCTTGTGCCAGAACTCAGAAGTCTATGGCGAGTGCTGCTCTTCGTGTGGAAGATGCACTTCCAGGCTCGTCTGACCCACCTCTAGGGATGGCGACTGCAGTGATAGGACACGGGGAAGGAAAAAAACATCTTTCACCTTCACAATTTAGCAGTTTAAGGTAATATTATCTTCCAGCCTGTGATCAGTGAGTGACATGTAGTCAGCGGAATTACTTAGCATTCTTCATTTATGCTACCAGATCTTCACGGAACTTTGTATTTGGCAGTAGTGCAGATAATTAAGTAGTTAGTGAAAGCGCAAAATAAAATGTCTAGTCAAAGTACATGTTGGACCAGCATCAACAGGAAAGAACTGATTATTAGGTAAATTATTCTTTGGCAATACATAATTGTATAATGAAAGAGAGGTTTAATTCTTTTTTTTTTTTTAATAAGGCAGCTCCAAATATTTCACTTACAGAACAACACAAAACTGATGTGCTTTTTGAGCTTCCTGGAGAAGGTAGCAATTGCCAGAGAAACAGCCAGGCCTCCTCCCCAGGCAGGGTGTGCGAGCTCGTGTCAGTCTGGGAAGAGGAAAGGCTGCCTGCCATCTGGTGGACCCATTCAGGGCATGTGGCCCCAGAATCTAAAAACCTGAGCCAGGAAGTTCCCAGCTGGGGCACTTGGCTGGCCCGAGGAGCCAGTCAGGCCCCAGGGAAATGGCAGCTTGTGCTGTCCAGAGAGAATGAGAATGCCGCCCAGAGGGCACTGTGAGCAGGCCCCCTCCTGGGACACCGGTGAGCAGGGGCCTGTGCCCAGAGACTGGCCATTTGGAAACTGTCTCCTGCTGGGAAAAGGGGAGTCCCTGTCTGGTCTGACACAGGATCTTTACCTCACATGTTTGTCCCAGGATTCCTGCCTTCAAGGCCAAATGTGGGGTTGTTTGTTTTGAGACAGAATTTCACTCTTGTTGCCTAGGCTGGAGTGCAATGGCGCGATCTCAGCTCACTGCAACCTCCGCCTCCTGGGTTCAAGTGATTCTCCTGCCTCAGTCTCCCGAGTAGCCCAGATTACAGACACCTACCACAGCGCCCAGCTAATTTTTTGTATTTTTAGTAGAGACAGGGTTTCACCATGTTGTCTAGGCTGGTCTCGAACTCCTGACCTCAGGTGATCCACCTGCCTCAGCCTCCCAAAGTGCTGGGATTCCAGGTGTGAGCCACCGCACCTGGCCGCCCAAATGTGGGTTTATTTGGGGGCTGCATGGAGCAAACTCTGGCCGTATTCAGTGAGAGCTCTGGGTAAGCACAGATGAGGACTTCATTCTCAAAGGAAACCTTTCAGCCGGGCGCGGCGCCTCAGCCTGGAATCCCAGCACTTCTGGAGGCCGAGGAGGGCAGATCACCTGAGGTCAGGAGTTTGAGACCAGCCTGGTCAACATGGCAAAACCCCGTCTCTACTAAAAATACAAAAATTAGCTGGGCATGGTGACAGGCGCCTGTAATCCCAGCTACTTGGAAGGCCAAGGCAGGAGAATCGCTTGAACCTGAGAGGTAGAGATTGCAGTGAACCAAGATCACACCACTGCACTCCAGCCTAGGTGACACAGCGAGACTCTGTCTCAAAATAATAATAATGAATTAAAAAATAAAAATACAGTGGAGTGGCTTGTGTTCAGCTCCCCCTAGTTATTGCCATGCTAAAATAGGTGCCCAGTGTTGCTGGATCTTCTGATGTTTTGAGGGAAGCCAGAAATCCAGATTTGTGAGAAATTTGCTTAATTGTGGACCCTGACAATTAATTATTTTATTAAAAATGTAAACCAGCTGGGCATGGTGGCTCACACCTATAATCCCAGCACCTTGGGAGGCCGAGGCAGGTGGACTGCTTGAGGCCAGGAGTTCGAGACCAGCCTGGGCGACACGCCAAAACCCCATCTCTATGAAAAATACAAAAGATGAGCTGGGTGTGATGATGCGCGCCTGTAGTTCCAACTACTTGCGGGAGCTGAGGCGGGAGGATTGCTTGAGCCAGAGAGGTCAAGGCGACAGTGAGCCGAGAGTACTGTAGCATTCCAACCCAGGTAACAAAGTGAGACCTTGTCTCAAAAAAAAAAAAAAAAAAATTGCGGTAAACCATTTGTTAGTGACCACTTCTGCCACCAGGGGTAGAACTGCCTGTGCTCTTGCTGCCTCCACTACCCTCTCCCTCCCTGCAGCTACTGGTTGGCTTGCTGCCTGTGTTCCTGTTTTAGGTTCCTTCCTCCCTCTTGAGGAATCCCAAGGAGTCTACCCATGGGCCTGCTTGCCCTTTCTCCCACTGCCGGCTGACCTCATCCACGCGAGGTACCTCAACCACTCCTCATACATTCATTGTGCCCAGAGCCAGACCCGTCCTGAACTTCCAACGTCCTCATTCCTCAGCCCCTGGCCCGTGGCCGTGTGAAACTCCTCTGAGAGTCTGCACCTGCTTCTCCCGTCGCCTTG